TGTGTGTGTGTGTTTTGTGTGTGTGTGTGTTTGTCTGTGTGTATATGTATGCACTTGTTCATATGAGCGTATATGCAGATAACTATACACATTCACCACATATCATATGACATACTTAGCCAGGGCCTCTGCCGCATTCTGGGCGGCCTTCTGAAGGGCATCGCTCTTGGCGTGGCTCTCCGTATTCCAGGTAACAAATGTGGACGACGAAGCACGGGGGCTGGCAGCCAACTTCATAAGAATGGCATCCACCATATCCACCGAAATCGCCTGTTGATCTGCGAGGTTTTTAATTCTGAAATGTGGGGTGTAGGTATATCAGCATATCATTGAATACATGTACATATATCAATATAAACAAACAGCCATATTAGCCATACGATGCTGTGTAGCTAATGTGTAGACATGCCTTCTATCTGATTCTGATATCGAGTGATTTCACAGCCCAAGCAGAGCTACGTACAACCCCTTTAGAGGTAAATGTAGGTAATGCTTGCATATACAGAGGTGAGCATTGGTAGATGGATGCATATACACAGATATACATAGGAAGACCCTTACATATACAGAGTAGAACGTAGGTGTATGCATATAGTGGTAGATGCATGCATAAACAGGGGTTAACGTACGTAGTGACTTGCATATACAGAGGTGAGTGTGGGTCGATGCATGTAAATACAGAGGTGAGTGTAGGTATATGCATGCATATACCTGGTCGTCGCTGCCTTGATCATATCGTCACTGAGGTCCAACTCCAGTGCTCGTGCGCGGTTAGCCATGGCGTTCCATCCGGTTAATCTGTGGGCCAATTGGATGCGTCGCTCTACGCCGAAATCTGCAGGGTTTAATACCTACCCCACACACACGGTCATGCAGACATATGAGAAAACGAAAAAGATTTGTGGAAATGTATACGTGTACGTACATATATATATATATATATATATATATATATATATATGTGTGTGTGTGTGTGTGTGTGTGTGTGTGTGTGTGTGTATAGTATATATATATATATATATA